AGAAAATGTATTTATTTTTCAATTTTCATTGGAATATCCTTGATTTTCAAGGTTGTGTTAGTTTCTCTAGTACAGCCTGGTGAATCAATTATATAAATACATGTATCAACTCTTTTTTAAAAGATTTTTTCCCATACAGGTCATTACAGAGTATAGAATAGAATTTCCCATGCTACACAGCAGATCCTTATTTATTACAGCTTTATGCATAGGAATGGGTGTATGATCATCCAGATCTCCACTTTATCCCTCCCATCCTCCACCCTGTTTCTTAGCGCCTGGTACCTTAAGCTTGCCTTCTCCATTTGTGTCTTTCTTTTGTAAATAATCTCATTTGTACCATTATTTTAGATTCCACATATGGTCACTATCACATGATATTTATCTCTCTTTTTCTGACTCAGTTGCTTCTCCCCTGAGTTCACCCTGGACAGAGAGCCACAATCGGGTCCTCACACGGGAAGATTCGGCGGGTGGCAGGTGCAATGCCGGGGAACCTGCAGGGTTCAGGCGCCAACGGAGCTCCTGAGAGCCCGATGAGGCTGCAGCCCCGGAATCCCCACGAACCCCCTCCGGCTCAATGGTTCAGCACCCCTCTTTGCAGCAGTGACTCTCGCCAAGGCCCGCACATGGTGCCCCCGGATCTGAGTTCTTTTCTGACACTCGGGCCACGTCCATCGGAACACAGTATCCTCAGGACGGCCCGACTCCGGGCCCCCGTCGGGCACTTGCAGACAAAAAGATGCTGGGGTTCCCTGGAGCAGCCCGTTTAACACCCAGGAATAAGGCCATTCTCCCATCGCCACGCACGTCCTCCTGACTCCCTACTGGGCCTGCGGACTCCTGGGCAGACAGAGCCAAGATCCTTCCCAGAAACGCGGGCTCTGAGCCCTGCTGCCATGCGGACTTGGCGTCGCTCCCGGAGCCCCTGGAGCGGGTGTACCAGCGCCTCCCGCCCCGCGCCCCCCTCGGGCGGGCCCCTCAGAGGCGGGGCCGGAGCCCACTGACCGCCAGGACCGCCCGGGCTCGGACCCCGGCAGACCCGGTTCTCCTGAAAGACACGCTGCTCTCGGGGAAGGCAGGTCTCTGTGGGAGGAGGTGGCTCCATCAGCGGTGATGCCAGAGAAAGGACAGAGTCTAAGGTCTCCCCAGGACTCCAAACGCCCGTCTCCAGGGGGAAGCCTTGGCCCCGAGTCGGGGTTGGGATTGCTTGTCTCTAGCCCCGCAGGTCAGAGGGGCCTGAGGACCGCTTTCTGCTCTCCCTCCCGCTGCGGTGGCCGCGGAATTCTGGGCTGCAGGAGTTCAAACTGGGAAGCTGAAGCCTCTATATATTATTTTTTGGTTCAAAATTTTTCTGTAGCAACACTTAGATTTTTTGCTAGATGTTTATTTTTTAAAAGAAAAAATCAGTAATGGTGATTTCAAAACATCACTCTTGTATGCTCCTCTGAAAGGCTCACGTTGTGAATGGTAATTTTCTGACTGAGAATGTTATCCAAGGGAGAAAGAGGAACATCAGGTCAGTTAATGGCATTTCCATATCCTCAGAAAGTCTCTCTATTCAGTGAGTTAGTTCAGTTTCCCTTCTCCAAGAAAGGACAGAGCACAAACCGCAGAAAGTTCAGACTGACTTTTCTAAGAAGAACAAAAGTTATTAGTATCACTACAGCATATAGAAACACCTCCAATCACATAGAGAAAGTAAAACATAAGCAAGAGAGGTATATTATAAACTGTGAAGCCTGATTTAATGTCAGCCTCTTGATACTTTTGGGCTTCCCAGGAGGCTCAGTGGCAAAAAAAAAAAAAAAAAAAAAAAAAAATCTGCCTGCCAATGCAGCTGACACAGGAGATTAGGTTTGATCTCTGGGTCAGGAAGATCCCCTGGAAAAGGAAATGACAACCTCCTCCAGTATTCTTACCTGGGAAACTCCACGGACAGAGGAGCCTGGCAGGCTATAGTCCATGGAGTCACAGAGTCAGACACAACTGAACACGCACACGCTCTGTCATATTGATCCTTTATTTCAGGACTCACCAAAAACATTATTTTTATCTTTTAGTAGAAAGTTTTTCTTGTGTCCCTTTTGTTAAACTCATGGACATGTAGATAGCACTTTGCTATCACGTGGTTATTTATTGGGGGGTTTTCTCTGCCTAGTACATTTTCAAAAGTCCAAAAATTTGATAGCAATTCATCAAGGAATACAGGGAACTTCAAAAAGGATGTTCTGGATAACCATGTTCACATATCTCTTGCCTTTCAGTTACTTGATATTGATATAATATTTAGATTCCACATATGATCCTTACAATTAATCAGCCTAAGACAATTTTAATCGTTTTTGTCAATTATTCCTGATTTTACAAATAATAAATATTCTTTGTGCAATGAATAAAAGATTCAGTTATAATGCAGAGAAAATTAAAAACCAGCAATGGCACCTTTGGGAATATAAAATCTTACCGTATTATGTTTTCAAAATACAAATTATATCCAATTTAAACTTTCCTATTTTTCTCAGACATTATTTCAATTTTCAACTCATTGAACTTCATTCCCTTCCCTTATACCATGTCAGGTAAGGCAAAGATCACTGCATTTTAGAGAACAAGTGGGCTTGCTGTGATGGAACAAGCTGAATCACTGCCACTCCTAGAAGGAAAATCACAGTCCCTCTTCTCACTTGTGGGCTTCCCAGGTGGAGCTAGTTGTAAAGAATCTGCAGATGCAGGACACATAAAAGCTGAGGGTTCGATCCCTTGTTTGGGAAGATCATCTGGAGGAGAGCATGGCAATCCATTCCAGTATTCTTGCCTAAAGAATCCCACAGACAGAAGAGTCTGGTGGGCTATGGTCCATGGGGTCACAAAGAGTCTGACACAACTGAAGAGACTTAGCAGGCATGCATTCTCACTTGTTGCTGGTGAGATTATTGGTTGCTGCAATTAGGGCTATCATATAGTTTATAAAATGAAGATATGAAATTCAATCCTGGGGAGTTCAGTTATTTCCAAACAACAACTTCTGGCTATCTTGGCCAGAGCAGTATGTGGTATTTTAGCAGAGTTTGAGTACCCGGGTTGAAAAATAGAATGTGAGGGACTCCTTGTTCTGAAGAAATATCACCAAATGAATGCAGGCAAATTCAGAAAGGCAAGTAAATCTAGTGGGTGATAGGTCTAGATAGGTAGGTGTTATTAAAACTATAATATATTTTATTAGATGGAGATGTGAAACTCATACTTGGATATTTTATTCCCCCCCAAAAAAAACTTCATGAATTACAAAGGTAAATTCATGGTGAGACTTTTATCAGAGGTTGGATTGTGGCAACTGGATTAAGTAGGTTTCAAATGTTTGAATTCAGTCATTGGCATCCTGATGTGTTTCCAACTCTGCAAAATCTAATCATGTGCATCTCTACCTTTTCACGGAGTTGATAACCCTATCACTTAGAAGAAATGGGTGTGGTCATTGGAGAATATAAAGCATCCAGCAAGAACCAAGCTCAATCTTCTCTGGAGCCCAGAGTTGTGATGTTTGGCGTTGGCTGAAAGTTTCTGCCACCAGCAGTGGAGCACCTAAATCCTGAACTGAATTTGAGAGTTACCTATTGAAAAAGAGTGGACAATTTTATTAACTACAACCAAAGGTGAGTTCTGAATATGGTGCAATGAAATTCTGATATGTTCAGTTAAAAGCAAAACTTTAATGGCAGTCCTGGACACAAAAGCTAGTTGTATTTATTCTGTCAGTACTATCTATGTTTGAGCACTTCCTCAAGCATTGATTCCATGTGAGATTTGCAGACAAGTAGCTTATTTTTACCTATACTATATCAAGTAACCTCCTTATAAAATGTGGGTAAAAATAGAAAATTAGTAGATATTGTTGGGACAATTAAGGTAGTTAATCCATAGAAAAGGATTTAACTCAATGCTGAGAAACACTAGGCAACACATATTAATTTCTCCTATTATTGTTTTAATATTATCATGGTCATTGATGCTATCAGTCTACAAATGATTATATTCATGTTGACTATTGTTCCCTGATTATTGTGATACTTGAACATTCACCAGTTCAAAATATGACATGCTCTGATGATATGAACCAACTCCAGGAAAACTTGCTTTCCTGAACTAGAAGTGACTTTTTTTTTCTTCTTTTTGTCTTGAAAGGAGCAGTTTTGTTATTTAAGTTGGAAGCAAGCTCTGAACACTTTAGGGTTAAGACATCAGATTAAAGCCAACATTGATTGTATGAAGCTTAAATTCTTTGTAAAAAAAATTTCTGTGTCTTTAGAAAAGCACTTTTGTCACTTTGACGACAGAAGGAACTGAGGCCATGAGGAGAGAAACGAAGGGTGTGCTAGTGTGGGTTCCAGTCAGGGAGTCATGGAGATCAAGAGAGACAGACTGAGGTTCTGTGGGTGCTTCTGTTCGAATCAGCTAATGAAGTAACTCTGAAGTCATCCCAACACTTACCTCCGTTCTAATCTTTAAGGGGCTTCCCAGGTGGTTCTGTGGTAAAGAATCCACCCGCCAATGCAGAGGATGCAGAAAACATGGGTTCAGCCACTGAGTTGGGAAGTTCCCTTGGAGAAGGGAATGGCAACCCTTTTCAGGATTCTTGCCTGGGAAATCCCAAGACGAGCCTGGTGTAGCAACGTGTCAGATAGGACTGAGCATACTCACACTAATCTTTAAGCTTCTCCATGTATTAATAATTTTAGTATGACTGAAATCCTGGTTTATTTTAAACAAAAAAGGTGCTAAGGACTCTTTTATTGTATTTTATCTTTTGTATAAGAGTTCAAACTCTTATATATAATGTATATAGTCACCATTTCCAGGTTTGTTCTCGGGAGGTAAACAAATAGGGAAATTAGAGTTCACGATAGGACTTTGTCCAAAGGATTTATTTTTCCTGATGAGGGCAGAAGAAAGAGTTTTTCCCTTATTCTCTCTTATTTCTTTCTTTAATTTTCAGAAACATGGATTTAGACGCACTGCAGGTCTTCCAGAGTGAACTCACCTGCTCCATCTGCATGAACTGCTTCCTGGACCCCGTCACCATAGACTGTGGGCACAGCTTCTGCCGTCCCTGTCTGAGCCTTTGCTGGGAAGAAGGCCAGACTCCAAGGAGCTGCCCTGAGTGCAGGGGAATATCAGAGAGGCCCCATTTCAAAACCAATATTGTCCTCAAGAGGCTGGCTTCCCTTGCCAGACAGGCCAGAGCTGACCACGACCACCGCTCTGAGGAGCAGATCTGTGAGACACACCAGGAAGCCAGAGGCCTCTTCTGTGAGGCTGACCAGACCCTGCTCTGCGGGCCCTGCTCTGAACGCCCCGAGCACACAGCTCACAGCCACAGTCCCATACACAGGGCTGCTGAGGAGTCCCGGGTAGGTGATGCCTCTAGAGGAGTTTGGGATCTAGAGGCTCCTAAGTCAGAGAGAAAGACGAGGGTGCTATGATGGTGATGGGGATAGAGCTAGTGGAGGTGGGATTTCTGAATGTGGATCCTCACATATAATGTGTCCTTTCAGGGTTGTTGCCCAGTTGTCCACATGTGTGGAAATGCAGCATCCCGGGGAGGGTGGCACCAGGGCCCCAGGCTTCTGCTGGGGGCTTGAGGCTTTCTTACTCGGGCTATTAAAGTCTGAGTCTGAGTATCTTGGGGAATGGATTCCATTATCTGTAAAATTCCCCCAGTTCTCTAGTATACAGTTCTATTCCTTGATATTCAAATATTGGCATCAAATTAAATTAATGTGGAAAAGTCTGGCGACAGCCTCCTAAGTCAAGTTTTCTGTGTAACTAATAAATGCCATTGCTCATGAATAAGGGGATTAAATTTACGGTGTCATCTTCTATGTTACTAAATCCCATGGGTTTTTCAGGAGAAACTCCTGAAGAGAATGAGCTCTTTATGGAAAATGAGAGAAGAAATGCAAATCAGCCTGAATCAGGAAGCTAACACAACTCAGTCCTTTGAGGTGAGAATTAAATGCTCCTATTTATTTATATAAATATTGATATAATTTTAACTTAGATTTTTTAGGTCAATGTAAGTTCCTGTTAAAGGCTACTGGTCTCTTCCCTGGAGGAGTGGTTTCAAATGACTGATCAGTAATTGCAATTAGAACAGGCTAATATATGCTAGTTCAAAGAATGCTAGTATTTTTGGAGACCAAGCCATGAAATGTATTCCAAGGCCACATTTTGAAGATTGGAATAAGCCTTTTCAGACATGGGGTATTAGACACATTGCACTGTGACTGTGAGAAGAAGAGAGGAAGAGAGTTGTACCTAGAGGGAAAATGATGGCTCAGGGGTAAAGAATCTGCCTGCAATGTGGGAGCCACAACAGACATGGAGTACATTCCTGGGTTGGAAAGATCCCCTGGAGGAGGAAATGGCAGCCTGCCCCAGTATTCCTGCCTGGAGAATCCCATGGACAGAGGAGCCTGGCGAGCTACAGTCCACAAGGTCACAAAGAGTTGGGCATGACTGAAGAGTGTCAGCATGCAGGAAAAAATAAATACATATATACAAAATGGGGTTTACTTCATGAAGGAATATTTAGAGGAATCAGAGAAAGGAACAAGAGAAAAACAAGACTCAGGTCGGAGAGGAAATAATTGATGGAGTAAGAACGCTAAAGAATCCTCCTTGGGAGACAGCCTGGGATCCCTCAGATGACTTAATTTAAACAGGGAAAGAGATTAGGAATTCAGAGAAAGCATGGGCAATAAGGACCAGGAAATATTCAAGACTCTTTGATGCATGTGGCAGTTTGTCAGGAACTTCCTTGATGACACTAAGGAAATAATATTTGAGGTTTTCTTTTGAATGTGAACATAAGTAATGCTTTGGATCCACTCTCTCTGTAGGACTACGTGGCCTTAAGGAAGGTGATGATCAAGCTTGAGTATCAGAGGATGCTTCTATTGCTCCGGGAGGAGGAGCAACTGCATCTGGAAGCCCTGGAGAGAGAAGCCAAGGAGATTTGTGAACAACTCAAGGAGAGTGTGTTCCGAATGACTCAACAGAGAAAAACTCTGAAAGAAATGTACAGAGAGATGATGGAGATGTGCCACAAGCCGGACGTGGAGTTGCTCCAGGTGAGAAAGGAGGGTCGGTCCTCAGAGAGAGAAACACTCTTCTAGATGAGTTGCTATGACACTGAAATATTACCTATCCAGACAGATGATAACACAATCAGCAAGATTCTGTGACCAGGGGAAAGTTAATTGTCTTGGAGTAAATCTCAGTGTACATACCCTTAAACCCTTGGCACCACTTGTTATCCATACTTCCTGAAGACATTGAAGTTCTTCCTGTCACACAGGCAAGATGTTTAGAAGTGGTATCAATTTTAATGCAATCTATAATTCTTTTTATGCAATTGTCTGGTTTACCTTAATTGTTACCATAAATGGTGAGATCACTGCATGTCGACAGCACCGGGCAGTGAGTGACACTGGAAACCTAGATGTTGCTGCATCATGTGCAGCCCCTTCCTGCCCCCTTTCCTTCCTTAATGAGACCTGAGGACGCCCATCATGTTTTAGGTTAGGGTCTTTATGAAAATTGCTTCTGAGTGCTACTTAGAAAAGAATTATAAAACCATGTCTTATTTTGAAACAGGAATAGGAAAGGAGATGGAAAAGGACAGAACCATAATGATTAACATGATCTTTTTTTTTTTCCTTTGCAGGGCTTGGACGATGTGCTGGAAATGTGAGTATACACTGACATTTTTTGATTTCTGAAATATTTTTGTCTTTTTGATGAGGTGGACCCACAGTTCTTGCTTGGGACCTGGGGATTGATTTCAGGTCCTCCCCCATATCTAAATCCCAGGATACAGGATCCTTTAGACATAATGCCATAGTATTCTCAGATAACTAATACGCATGCTCCTGTACACTTTGTCATCTCAAGACAACTTTACAACTAACATATACAGTGTAAAGTAAATGCTGCATAAGTCATTCCTTGGTGTGTGGCATTTTCAATTTTTATATTTTTGGAAGTTTCTGGAATTTTTTGTGAATTTTTTCACTCAGAAGAAAGGCAAAGGGGAAGGAAGTTTACACTGGGAATTTGGGATTGACTGGTCCCCACTGTATATGAAGTACAGTTAGAACAGTAGCTCTGACCCTATTGTGAAATAAACTGATAAATGAGCAAATACATAGCCCAGAATGTACAGATGAATCCATGTGTGAATCCATAGGTATAGAACCCTAGCATATGGATTACCAACATTGTCTTTTTGGCTATTTTCTATTTTATTTCAAAAGAATTTCCAGGGCTTCTGACCCTTCGTCTCAGTAGTTTCCTTTTCATTTGACTGAAATCGAATATGTCTGAAAACCTGTTGACATTCTGGGCTTTGTTCCACCACTCGACCCATTCTCTCCAGCCCGACCACAATAAACTTAGCGAGGGATTTTTCTAAGACATCACAGAGGAAGCACCTACCCTAGTGAGTTGGAAGGTGAAAAAGGCATGAAAGAGGCACACTCCCTACAATGGCAAGAGAGACTGTGATTTTGTTAATAGTGGGTAGCAGTGACTCAACCCGCTCCATCACAGCAAAACCCCTGCAGGCAGGACCTCACAGGGAGCGGCTTTCTGCTGCCCACTGGGAAGTGAGCCGTTCAGGACCAGGGCAGCCAGGTTGGACCTGGGTCACCTTGCTGGACTGACAAGAATAAACATGTCTGGTCAGTGAGCACTTCCGTTTAGACACTGAATGCATCCTTGACGGCTACTTTGTGAGTGAAGTCTCAAAGGCTTAGCCTGAATTTTTTGCTGTCCGTAAAATGCCCAGGATCTTTGAATTGATGGAATTGACAAAGGGAATGAAGTTTAGTGAGTGCAAATTTGGAATATTGTCTGAGAAAAATGGGGAAAATGAAATTTGATATAATTTATATTTAGTAAAATATATGGCAACATTTTTATATTCTCAAATGAGTAGAATATATTGTATAAGCAAGTCACCAAAAGTAGGAGAATCCTGAGAACATATTGGATCCTGTAGTGAAGTCTGCTGTTTGCAATGCTCATGTGATTAGCCATTGGTCTTGACATGGAACCGATGTTCTTTGTTACAGGACTGACTTGGCACAGATGCAGAAGCCTCAGCCCGTGAACCCAGAGCTCCCTTCCTGGCCAGTCTCTGGATTCCTACACATGCTGAACAACTTCAGAGGTAAGAGTCAGCCTTTTGGTGATCAAGGCTACATTTCATTAGAGCTTCTTGGGAAAAAACCTGCTTTCATTTTTGTTGTATTTCTTTTTTCTTTTTTGGATATGAAGGTGCTGCATACATTCCTGAAGTTGTTAACATCTTTTCTACCTCTATCAGTTCAGTTCAGTCTCTCAGTCTTGTCTGACTTTGCGATCCCATGGACTGCAGCACTCCAGGCTTCCCTGTCCATTACAAACTCCCGGAGTTTATTCAAGCTCATGTCCATTGAGCCGGTGATGCCACCCAACCATCTCATCCTCTGTTGTTCCTTTCTTCTCCCACCTTCAGTTTTTCCCAGCATCAGGGTCTTTTCAAATGAGTGAGTTCATTGCATCAGGTGCCAAAGTATTGGAGTTTCAGCCTTAGCATCAGTCCTTCCAGTGAATATTCAGGACTGATTTCCTCTAGGATGGACAGATTGGATCTCCTTGCTGTTCAAGGGACTCTCCAGAGTCTTCTCCAACACCACAGTTCAAAAGCATCAATCTTTGGTGCTTAGCTTTCTTTATAGTCCAACTCTCACATGCATACATGACTATTGGAAAAACCATAGCTTTGACTAGATGAATCTTTGTTAGCAAGGTAATGTCTCTGCTTTTTAAAATGCTTTCTAGGTTGGTCATAACTTTTCTTCCAAGGAGCAAGCATCTTTTAATTCCATGGTTGCAGTCACCGTCAGCAGTGATTTTGGACCACACACCCCCCACCCCCCGACAAATAGTCTACTACAGTTTTCATTGTTTCCCCATCTATTTGCCATGAAGTGATGGGACCGGATGCCACGATCTTAGTTTTCTGAATGCTGAGTTTTAAGCCAATGTTTTCACTCTCCTCTTTCACTTTCATCAAGAGACTCTTTAGTTTCACTTCACTTTCTGCCATAAGGCTGGTGTCATCAGCACATCTGAGGTTATTTATATTTCTCCCAACAGTCTTAATTCTAGCTTGTGCTTCATCCAGTCCAGCATTTCTCATGATGTACTCTGAATTTAAGTTAGACAAGCAGGGTGATAATATACAGCTTTGACTTACACCTTTCCAAATTTGGAAACAGTCTGTTGTCCCATGTCCAGTTCTAACTGTTTCTTCATGACCTGAATGCAGATTTCTCAGGAGACAAGTCAGGAGGTCTGGTATTCCCATCTCTTGAAGAATTTCCCACAGTTTGTTGTGATCCACACAGTCAAAAACTTTGGTGTTGTCAAAGAAGCAGAAATAGATATTTTTTTCTGGAACTCTCTTGTTTCAATGATCCAGCAAATGTTGAGAATTTGATCTCTAGTTCCTCTGTCTTTTCTAAATGCAGCTTGAACATCTGGTAGTTCAGGGTTCATGTACTGTTGAAGCCTGCTTGAAGAATTTTGAGCATTACTTTACTAGCGTGTGAGATGAGTTCAGTTGTGCAGTAGTTTGAGCATTATTTGGCGTTGTCTTTCTTTGGGATTGGAATGAAAACTGACCTTTTCCAGTCCTGTGGTCACTGCTGAATTTTCCAAATTTACTGGCATATTGAGTGCAGCACTTTCACAGCATCATCTTTTAGTATTTACATAGCTCAGCTGGAAGTCCATCCCCTCCACTCACGTAGTTCTTAGTGATGCTTCCTAAGGCCCACTTGACTTCACATTTCAGGATGTCTGGCTCTAGGTGAGTGATCACACCATCATGGTTATCTGGGTCATTAAGATTTTTTTTTTTGTATAAATCTTCTGTGTATTCTTGAATCCTCTTCTTAATACCTTCTGCTTCTGTTAGGTCCATACCATTTCTGTCCTTTACTGAGCACATCTTTGCATGAAATATTTCCTTGGTATCTCTAATTTTCTTTAAGATATCTCTAGTCTTTCCCATTCTGTTGTTTTCCTCTATTTCTTTGCATTGATCGCTGAGGAAGGCTTTCTTTGCTATTCTTTGCTTTTCTTTTTTTTTCCTTTTTCTTTTTCTTTTTTATTGCTATTTCCTTGCTATTCTTTGGAACTCTACATTCAAATTGGTATCTTTCCTTTTCTCCTTTGCCTTTAGGTACTCTTCTTTTCACAATTAATTACAAAGCTTCCTCAGACAACCATATACCTTTTTGCATTTCTTTTTCTTGATCACTGCTTCTTGTAAAATGTCATGAACCTCTGTCCATAGCTCTTCAGGCATTCTCTCTATCAGATCTAATCCCCTGAATCTATTTGTCACTTCCACTGTATAATCATAAGGGATTTGACTTAGGTCATACCTGAATGGTCTAGTGGTGTTCCCTACTTTCAATTTAAGTCTGAATTTGGCAATAAGGAGTTCATGGTCTGAGCCACAGTCAGCTCCCTGTCTTTGTTTTGCTGACTGTATAGAGCTTCTCCATCATTGGCTGCAAAGAATATAATCCATCTGATTTTGGTATTGACCATTTGGTGATCCATGTATAGAATCTTCTCATGTGTTGTTGGAAGAGGGTGTTTGCTATGAGCAGTGCATTCTCTTGGCAAAACTCTATTAGCCTTTGCCCTGCTTCTTTCTGTACTCCAAGGGCAAATTTGCCTGTTTCTCAAGGTATTCCTTGACTTCCTACTTTTGCATTCCAGTCCCTTATAATGAAAAGGACATCTTTGTTGCGTGTTAGTTCTAGAAGGTCTTATAGGTCTTCATAGAACTGTTCAACTTCAGTTTCTTCAGCATTACTGGTTGGGGCATAGACTTGGATTACTCTGATATTGAATGGTTTGCCTTGGAAACGAACAGTTCATTCTGTTGTTTCTGAGATTGCATCCAAGTACTGCATTTTGGACACTTTTGTTGCCTCTATAGTCAGATTATAAACACCAAGTCTGATGTTTGCCACTGCAATTTCTTGAAAATGCAAAACCACATATATATATATGTATATATATACACATACACATATATATAAATATATATGAAATAGGATGAGCTAAAGGAGAGCAATCAGATTGTTACTGTAATTATAAACAGACAGAATATTTAGTTTTGTGAGTGACCATAAATATGTTGCTTACTGAGTTTCACTCTTGAGCTTAAATCCATCATTGCTGCTTTTTTCTTGTTTGTTTGTTTTGTTTTGTTTTTCATTGCTGCTTTTTAATTCACTGTATGGGCTTCCCTGGTGGCTCAGATGATAAAGAGTCTGCCTGCAATGCAGGAGAACCAGGTTCAAGCCCTGGGTTGGGAAGATCCCTAGAGAAGGGAATGGAAATCCTCTCCAGTATTCTTTCATGGAGAATTCCATGGACAGAGCAGCCTGGTGGGCTACATACCGTCCATGGGGTCGCAAAGAGTCGAACAGGACTGAAGGACTAACACTTCAACTTTCACTTCATTATAGCTACATTTATTACACATTGTCCAAAGAATATTTATTATTTCTAAAGTTAGGAATAAATAACAGAAAAACTGAAATGGGCTTTGGCAGAAGAATTGTAATGCTCTCAATCTCACAACAACTTTAAGGCAAGGGATACATGAACAGTTAGTC